TTTTCTTATTTTAAATGTTTCATTAACATTGTGGGTCAACATTATTTCATTCAAGAGGCTTAAGATGTCCCTTTTTTCCTGGTACCATAATCACCTACTGCTTCCTTTGTAAGCAATTCCACCTTCATTTGTTAATCTTTCTATCTTCCCAGCAAGGCCAACTGTCTTCCTTATTAGGAAGTTACAGTAATGAAAGCTGGAAAAAAAGGTCACTTTTGCAAAGTACCACCCAAGCATCTAACAGGACCATCTTAGTTCTCACATAGATAAAACCACTCTGAGAATGAAGGCAACTGTATTCACTTGCTGTTAATGTTATAACAAATCATAAAAAAAAAAAAAAAAAAAAAAAAATCATCACCAATATGGTGGCAAAGCAATGGAAACTTTTTTTAATCCCACAGTTTTGTAGGTCTGAAGTACTACGTGGGTCTTATTGAGCTAAAATTCAGAAGGAAGTGTTTCTTAAATGAACAAACACACACTTGAACAAGGAAGTACCACTACATATGCTCTCTAGGGTCTGAAACACACTCACTTAGCCATACCCAACAACCCCAACTCGACAAGCCTCAGTGGAAGGTGAGATTTCCTACCACTGCTACTTCTGCCCTCACACCCACTAGGCTTCCTTCTCAGGGTCAGGTGATTCCTTTTTTTTTTTTTTTAAGACAAAGAGTGGCTTCCCAAAAGATCTGCTGTTCTAACACCCTGTCACTTTTGGCTCCTTCTGTTCCCTTTGAACTGCTCAACTATATTTCTACATTCAATGTAGAATTCCATCTGAAATGCTCTTACCCCCAGCTCTCTGGATGGCTGGCTTCTTCATGGAAGGACCTTAAACCAGCCATGCCCTTGAAAGAAGATTCTCAGTGAGGCATGGCAGCACATATCTGTAATTTCAGCACACAAGCTAGAGCGCAATCACAAGTTAGCAATTTAGCAAGACCTTGTCTCAAAAGGAATAAAAATGGGAAAAGGGACATAGCTTAGGGCAAAGGCTTCTAGGTTCAATCCCCATTACTGTCATAAATAAATACTAAACTAACATTTCTTATCTCACAATCACTGCCCTTCATATTTAATGTTTTCACTTGATAATAACAATAAGGGCTAACAGTGGGAAATATACTATGTACATACTATGTACCATTTGTGCTAAACACTTGCTATGGATTAGGAGCCAGATGAAACTCCCTCAGAGGTTCATGAGTTAGAACTTATCCCCATTGTGAGATAATAAGAGAGTGGAAACTTAATCTAAGCTCAAAGGTGGGATCTTTGCCAAATTATTAAGATTAATCAGATGAAGCCCCCACGACCATCTCTTAGTGGCTTTATAAAAAAGGAAACAGGTATGATGATGCACATCTGTAATCCCAGCACTGGGACACTAAGGAAAGAGGACTGCTGCAAGTTCAAGGCCAGCCTGGGTTACATAGTGAGTTCAGGGGCAGCAGCCTGAACTGTACAGTGAGACCCTGTCCAAAAACCCAAAAAAGAGAGAGATCAGAAGACAAATATGTATTTAAAGGGATATATACATGGATATGTATGGATAGTCCCCTGCTGAATATATATATATATATATATATATATATATATATATATATATCGCATCACCACCAGAACCACCATGAGCTAATATAAGCTAATATAAACTTCTTTTCTATGTATCTCAGTCTGTGGTACTGTGTTACTGGCAACAGAAAATGGACTGATACAGCACTGTTATGGTTTGTGACTTGATGTCCACTCCCCAAAAGCCTTACACAATCATGGGGCAAGGTTCTAGAGTATATGACTGAATCAAGAACCAATGACTATGGGTATAAGTGCTACACCTGCCCTGGGGCAGGTAGCCTGCATATAACACAGGGAGGGCAAGAGGCTTACTCTCTGTTGCTCCTCCCTTTTGTTCTTGTTGCCTTTTCTGTCTTCTGTCACCATAAACTGTTGCCCTCTGCTATGCGCCACTCTGCCATGGAGCCATTTGTAACTACTACTATACTACATTGATCTACTAATGTCTTCTCCTGCTGACATTCGCCCCAAATTTTGAAACGATAAGAGAGTATCATTTAACAAAGTATCTCACCTGGGTATGCACACCTGTAATTTTAGCACTAGGGAGACTGAGGCTGGAGGATCACCAAGAGTTTAAGCCAGCCTGAGTTATTTAGCAAATTCAAGGCCAACCCAGACTATTTAATAAGACCCTGTCTGAAAAACAAAACCCCAAATATTTCAGTCCCTATTGGCATTAAATAGGTAAATTAATGTAATACTCTTAAGATTTTTCTTCATACATCTCAACTCACCTCCTCTTTCTCCAAATTCTTAGCATAGAATTCAGCTCCTATAAGGCATTCAATACATCCAGAAAAATCTAAGCATTGTAAAAAGCCTTTGTCACCACCCAGCTGTGTCCCCTTAGTTCATCAGAGGGAAATGCCCTTTCTAGGGCCTTAAAAAGAACTGAGCAAAACGCACACTGAATGCTACATGGGCTTCAGAGACCTTAAGAGAGATCATTCTAACAAAAGACAGCACTCAGTGGGCAGCTGCCCTGCTGAAGGAAGACCAGGATCCAATATTTGCCTCTTACAAACACCCTCTTCCCAGTACCCTACTCCTTCTAAGAAGTATCCAACACCTGAAATATGTTACTAGAAAACTTATCACCCAAACACACACCTAAAGATTTCTCTAGGGGCTACAGGCTTCCTTGGTTCCCCCTTCCTACCTTTACTTCTTGAGGAGGCAAATATACCCAATAACAGTGGTCTTGAGGCCAGCCCTCTGATATCATCTTTAGCTGTAGGGAAAGCCTTGATGTGGCAGATAAATGGGACTGCTGGTCTGCTTTTGGTGATTTTGGTTATTTCCAAAAAGTCCTGAACATCTCCAGAATACAAGGTCTCAAGAATCCCAAATTCCATGTCATTTGGAAAGTAGTACTGACAAACTGCCACAGGGAGCGGTAATTGGAGGGAACAACACTCCCTGGTCTAGCATGACCACAGGGTTTCTAGGATGAGGTGGTACAGGGGTGGTGCTTCTTGAGGACAAGAAAGAGGAGCAAAGAGCAGGTGAAATAACATGGAAAACATGAGCTAATGTTCACTGAGTGTTTACTTTATCCTTGGAGATTAGTGTCTTCTCCGTGCTGTTTCACATATAGTAATTTGCTGATGCCTCACAATCTTTACAAGACAGATACTGTTAATATACCTGATGTAGAACCCAAGGATTCAGAGTGTTAAATAACTTGTCTAAAGTAATCCAGTAATTGGCATGGTTGGGATTCAAACCAGGTTTGCCTGACTCCAAAGTCTCATAAACCATGTACACCACCTGCTGGTGAATAACTATTGTGTGAATGATAGAAGTATGTGTGAAAGAGTGAGAGATCACTGAATGCCTGCCCAAAGGTCTGTCATTGTTCCACAAGGGGGTCCACCAGCTGACCGAGAAATACTGTGGGAAGAATGGCCTAGTGTGTTTACAGAGGATGATGGAGGAAGATGGGAACCACATGCCTCTTTAAGTTCTACAGGAAGGAAGGCAGCACCAGGAATAAGGAAAACCAGGAGAGAAGCCAAGTGAATACCAATTAACCAACAGTGGTGTTCACCTTCAAATTTGACAAATAAAGATGTTCTTCAAGGTCCAGTCAGTGCACAAAACTCACATTAAGTGCCCAGCATCCTGAAGCGCTCTCTTCTCTTCCCCCAACTCTACTGAAGGATGAACAACTTTTCTCACATCTTTATTTGTAAATCATGAAATCTATAATTATTGTACTTTACTGGGCATTGAGGTTCGAACTCCTAAGGATTTTTTTTTTCCTCGAATGCCTTCAGGGCACTTTTTTTTTTTTTTTTTTTTTTTTTTACTGGGGATTGAATCCGGAGCTTTGTACATGGTATGCAATTGTTCTACCACTGTACTACAACCCTAGCCCTTTGAGAGTCTTCCTAAATTCCCCTGCTTGTCTCCAACTTGCCATCCTCCTGCCTCAACCTAATGAGTAGCTGAGCTTACAGACCAGCACCACTGAAATTTAACCTTTAAAGCTTTTTATATTTTGGTTTTGGTGCCAAGGACCAAACCCTGGTCTTACAGCTCGCTAGGCAAGAATTCTACTGCTGAGCCAAATCCCTAGCCTCTTAACCTCTAAAGTTTTGATGAAAAAATATTCTCCAGCGGGTAACCGTCTGGCTACCTTCCCCCTCCAGTAATAAGTACCTGGCTCAGAGGTATCATTTAGGGATCAGCGATGGGAACCTCACCACAGGGGAAAGTCTAGAAACAAGGACATCTCTAACTCAGGCCACAGCTGTGCCTGAGGGTGTCAATCTCACTTTGAAGCTGTGTGCTGAGAGGAAAAGGAACTCTGCTTCTTGCTAGTCTTGTGTAACAATCTTAGTTCCAAGAGCAGCGTCCCCCCTTCCCCCCCCCCAATGGCTAAGGAGTTGAATTTTAGCCAAATACTTGCGTACGAACAGCCACCTCCTTGCTCTCCCAGATTCCTTAAGAAATCCACCCAGTTCAGTTTGGGAGTAAGCCCTCGCAAAATGGGGCTCAGCAATTTCCCAGGAACGCTCAGTCCGGAGGTCAAGACAATGGGGGGGAGGGGCTGCTTAGCTTCCCTAAGCAGTGCCACGACACAGCTCTGCCTACGTCTGGGTAAAGAGGTTTGTATGGGCACCCTTCCTACCAGCCACAGCCACTCCCAAGAGACACTATCCTTCCAAATTACGTGTCGAGTACAACAGGGTGAGGAGGCAATCCAAGAGAGACGAACCACTGTGGTCCGAGGCTCCGAGCCACAGTTCTAGAAGATCCCCTTCACGCACTCCCGCCCTCAGCTCCCGCTTTTCCAGTGAGGACTCTCAGGCCCCTCAAGACCACCCCGCCCCTGCTTCGGGATTCCTGGCCCGGGGCGGACTCCATTCTGGTCATTCAAGGCCCCTCAGCCCCGGCCCGCGGCTCACCCTCTAGCGTTTCGCACTGCACCAGGTTGAGGTAGTCGGCCTGGCTGAGCACCCCGGCCTTGAGGCCGCGCACCAGTCCCTCCAAGTAGCCATTGTCTACGTTGAAGTATAGCTCCGGGAAGAACGACATGGCTGCGGCAGGGGCGGCAGGGGCGGCAGGACCGGAGAGCCCCGACCGGCCGGCACGCAACGCAACTCCAAAACCAGCTGACGCGGCGTCCGCAACTGGCTGTCAAGTGCGTCAGGTGACGCACAAGTGCCTCACGTGACCGCAACTGAACCACGTCCGGCTTCCGGGTGGTTTCAGGCGCAAGCATTGCGCAGGTGTGAGCGACAGACCGCCTTGTGGCGCCTGCGCGTTGAGGGGGGGCGGCCCTCAGGTTCCCGGGTTTGTACAGCTACTTGGAAGTCCGAGGGCCAACGCGTGGGGTCGCCTGTGACTGCAGAATTAAATGGGAGCTCTCTTGCTTTCCCGGGTTAGGTGCACCTAGCACTATAGGGTCTGCGAGGTAAAGATGAAACTGGGAGGGCTTCTTATGCTTACAAAGGTTCTACACTGCTGAGCCAGTCAATTCTTAAAGGAAAACCGAGATAAGGTGAGAAGCGAACTTTACTGGGGGTCACAATTAACTGCCAGCAGGCCCTGGCGCCCAATGCTTATTTGCTAACAGCCCGGGTAGGCTTACTGCGTCCAGCTTTCGCTGCATCGTTGCACAAGATTCTCCAGGACTGGAGTGAAACTCTTTTGCTTCCCCCAAAGGGCCCTAGTGCCCTAAAAGCGCGCGTGTATCTGACTCAGATGATGGATAGCAAGCCTTAGATAAGGGTGTGTGTGATTTCGTGGGTTGGTGATACCCCCTATCTCTTCCATGAACCCAGATCCCACGACCCCCACGTTCGAAAGAACCACAACCTTTGGGTAGGTTCCATCCTTTATTCGCGTCCCCTTGTCTCTGCCCAGATGGCCGGTTAGGTGCGGCTGCAGGGGTTCGTAGCAGTACCCAGCTTGCGGCAGTAGCAGAAAGCGTTGAAGAAGCGGCAATAGCATGTGGCACACGGGTCGCAGCACGGTACCTGCTGCCCCAGGCAAGACTCGTGTAGCCTTACACAGCGGCGTGGGGTACGGGGCTCGCGGTTCTGCTGGTCTAATACCTGCAATGGCAGGGCAGCAAGAACGTGAGCACAAGGAAGTTCTGGAACCGAATCTCCAATCCATACAGGAGGGCAGTAGAGTGAAGTCTGCAGTGAGCCCCCTCCCACCTTATAAAGGAGTCTGGAGGTGCGAAGGGGGGATGGTATGAAATGCCCTCTGCCTGAGACCTCACCCCTTTCCCCAAGCAGGTACCTCTGCCAAAGCTTCTGCCTTCTGCAGTAGAGCCTCTTCTTGTTCTGCAGTTGTCCTCTTTAGCGGAACATGCAGGCCTAGGTCTGGGGCTGAGGATGTGAAGGCAGGACCCTCCATGCACAAAGTACTCATGTTCCAGGAGTAGATTGTGAAGGGAAAGAGGGCTTATACCACGCAGATAACTTTGTAGCCAGTGAGTATCCAGGCCCCACCCAATCCCACCCCTGCCCATACTGACCTGGGAACTCTGGGAACAGGACTTGGTCAGGCCTTCTGATGCCCTCCAGGGGGACCAGACCCATCTGGGCGCCCTGTGTTGCAGGCAATGCCAGTAGCAGGGCGGCACAACTCAGCAGCACTGTAGTCAGCATGGCCTGACTCAGCAGGAAAACCCACCACTTAGGCCCTCCTCATCCTTGGAGGACCCTCAAGGTGCCCAAAGAGAGTGTTTCCCACCCAGAGTAGGAGTCCCTGCCCAACCTGAGGACTTACCTCTGCTTGCTGGCTCTTGCCTAGAGAGTTCCTGGCCACCTGTGCCCCCACTTATATGGTAGGGGATAATGAAAGACCTACACGTGACTTCTCCCTGTGGCCATATATGAGGGGCCCTCCCTGGAGGGTGGGGACACAGTTCGGGCCTCAGTCCCTGAAGCCTGAACCTTTGGATGCTCTACTAGAGGGTCGCTCATCACCAATCTAAAATGAGGACTCAAACAGCCAATTAAAGTTTGGGTTCTAGGGCCCCTAAATTTCCACAGGACCCAAACTCAGAGTGTGGCCCAGGCTGGAGCCATTAGCAATAACAAGGCAAGCGGCCCTGAGAGCTTAATTTAATTTCTAGCCCCAGAGATGCTCATTCAGGCCTTATGTGGGTTGTTGTTTCCTTTGCTTCCAGGAACTTGGATCAAGGGGGTGATGGGCCAGTGACTATTGTGTGATTTCTTTGGAGAAAGAAGAGTGGAGAAGATGCCCACCTAGCCATAAATAGGCTCTCCTGGCTGTATCTCTGGTTCTGCCTCCCCTCCCTTTTTTTTATTCTGACTCTTCTAAGGCCCCCACCCCTACTACTGTCCCCTAGCTCCTTTTGAACCTCAGGTTCCTGGAAGCCAAGGAAGTAGAACGGATTGTTCCCTGGGTGGTCAAGCAGCTTGAGAGTAAAAAGCTTTCAGGCCGCCTGCCTCATTAGTGCTAATGGCTGCCCCTTCCGCCCTGTATTGTCAGGCCTCTGACCATGCCTGGCATCATCAGTGCATGTCTGTGAGGAGAACTACCCATTTGTGAATGGGGAAGGGCACACAGATCCCCATTTGTCCCTGTCTTTCCTTGCCCTTCTGGAGGGTCTTTTATTACACATGTGCCCATCTGGAGAGAGATGCAAGCTGCATCAGCTTAGAGGCCCCAGTATCCAAACTGGACTCGCCCAAAGCAGCAGAAGAGGATGAAAAAGCTATTGGGTTTGCAGTCTAGGTCCACACAGGTTCTTTGGACCAAGAGGATGCCTGTTGAAATCCTCCCACCAAGTAGCCATCTGCCAGCCTTTTCCTGGAGTTAACAGCTGTTTGTATGCAGGCTTCATGGTGAGGAGGTGTTCTGCAGAGAGTGGGCCTCTGGCAGGCTTCTTCCACAGACAAGCACTGGTGTCCATTCTAGAATCAGGCGCCATTGGGTTCTCCCAAGGTTGGCTCAGAATAACAATCCTTGGAGCTCAGAAGGTCATTTATTACTGCCTGGGTGTGTGTGTAAGGGAAGACACCGAGGAATCAGACAAAGCTCCCCTTAGGACAATCCAGTAAAGGGCCAGACCCCTTATCTCCCTAAGAATGATGGTGACAATTTAGTGACTCTTTGCCAAAGCATACCTAGTGTTAAGGCATCTCTGACTTTAGGCATTGACATTTCCCAGAGGCCATACCTCAGGCCCATGTCAAGACTTTCTTTTCTCTAGAGTGACACAGGATGAAGATATCAGGCCCCCAGGTTGTGATTCCATTCCAGATGAGTCACTTGGAGCTCAGGAAGGGGCCTCACACATGTTATTGTATATGAGGCACTTTTCCCCAAATCCTTATATCCTTGTCCCATCCCTAGAGATTCTGGCTGAAAAGATAGGAAGCACTTAAATGAGCAGGTACAGAAAATAAATCCTCTTTTGCAACCCAGAACTCAGTGTTAGGTATGAGTTTTGATACATTAGAGAAGGAATATTACTACTAGGTGCAGTGGTTACAGATCTGCGATTTTTTTTTTTTCTTTTTTCTGAACCGGGGATTGAACTCAGGCCCTTGTGCTTACCAGGGAAACACTTATTCCACTGAATCATCTCCCCAGCCCCTGAGATCTGTGATCTTGAGGCTGAGGCAAGAGGAATTAAGTTTGGACTGTATAGAGTGAGATTGCCTCAAAAAAGAAAATAAAAATTTAAAAATTATTATGCAAATAAAAAGAGATAGGAAGCAAGGATTGCATGTGGATTGGAAAAGTGCTCTAGGGAGCTGGGGTGGGGACTTGGCACTGGCTGGACCCACTCAGTATTCATCCTACGGATAGGTCTTCATGTCTGGCCTGGGGCCTCCTCCCACCCCAGTGCTTAGCTATAGATGTGTGCCTGCAGGTATATCTGCCCCACAGATAGTACCACACAAAGGCCAGGTTGCTCACAGGGACAGCCTATGACCTTGCTTAGGCCCAGTGGAGGAGACAGGCCAACCATCACACATGATGACAGCCACAGTGTTGCCTATTTGCAACCTCAGCTACTTGAGAGATTGAGGCAGGAGGATCATAAGTTCAAGACAAACCTTAACAAGCCCTGTCTCAAAATTAAATATAAATGAATGAAAAGAACTGGAAATGTAGTTCAGTGCTCCTTGTATTTAATCCCTAGTAATACAAAATAATAATGATAATAATAATAATACCTCAGCTGAAGATGGGGAGGGAGTTGTCTAGGGAAGGCTTCCTAGGGGAGGGAGCGCTTCATCATGAAACTTGGATAGAACTTGAGGAATGGTAGGCAAAGAGACATTGTAAAAATTCCTTGGACTCATAACTGGCACCCTCTTTACTCTGATATCTAATTTGGTTCACTCAAGAGCGCTATCCTAGTTAACAATCAGCAGACTCATTGCTGTCATCTGGAGATGAGACAATTACCTCTACCCAAGTGCTCCTCAGAGTTAGTTCCACCTGTGAATTAGCCAGCAGCCTATTGTAGCTACTGTCAGCTGCTACTGTATAGCTGTTGTGAATGTGCATTGACCCAGACTTAGCCATAGGAGACCAAAACCACTCGCATCACCCATAAAATCAAGTAAAGTCCTCCAGAGGAGAAATAAACATTTGTTTATATCCTCTCCTACTCCAACCCCCTTTTGCCTTCAGTGCAGCATCACCCAACTGCCCCCCACCCACTAACATGTCCCAAATGGGTTTCTTCTCATAGCCTTCTATGTATATGTATACCCATAATTGCATCTGTGTTAACTTTTGCAATGAATCTTTGGTTTGGTTTACCAATTTTGTTGCAATTAAAAGTTTCTGCCTGGGCTGGTGAGATGGCTCAGTGGTCTAAAGCACCTACTTAGAACAAGTTTAGCAAACCACAGGGACCGTGGTTCAATCCCCCAGCACCAAATGCCAGCCAGCCCCGCCCCCTAGTGGGCTGAGCTGGCCACACACACACACACACATAAATAAATAAATAAATAAATAAAATTTAAAAAAAAAGTTTCTGGGGCTGGAGAGATGGCTCAGTGGTCTAAAGCAGCTACTTGGAACAAGCTTGGCAAAGCACAAGGACCGCGGTTCGATCCTTCAGCACCACATGCCAGCCAGCCTCGCCCCCTGGTGGGCTGAGCTGGCCACACACACACACAATAAATAAATGTAATAAATAAATAAATAATTAAAAAAAAAAAAAAGTTTCTGCCTATCATTTTTTTTTGTTTTCCTTGGTGCTATGGCTTTAATATGGTTAATTGTGTCTTCTCAAAAGTTCATGCAAGTAAAATCTTAGACCCCCAAGGTGGTAGTATGGGGAAGTGGAGGACCCTTTAAAAGGTGGGATCTAGTGGGAGGTCCGTAGGTCACGAGGAACTGATTACCTTCTCTAGAAACCCTTAGAGTTCTTCCTGAGGACTGTTGTAAAAGTAACAAACTCAACCTCACCCAGGCCCCTCTGCTTCCTGTTGGAGATGTGGTCACTTGATCTCATTGGAGTAGCTGGCATTTGTAACACAGACTTTGCCAAGCTTGCATTATGACATTTGGACTCAGCTTCCCAAACTGAGCCAAATAAACCTGGTATTTCATAAGTAGCCTATTAGTAAAACTGATTAATCCACTTAGTTTTTTATTTATACCTTTCTTAGCAACTTAAGGTGCAATTGCTGATCCCAATGGTTGACTTTCCTTCTTGGTAAACAGTTGCCTGTTTCCAGTATTCTATAAAAGAACCCCATTAGAGCCTGTTTCCTCAGTAAATGACCATAAACAAAGTGGGTGATTTTACTGGTCAGGAACCAACCTGACATTTGTATCAATTTTTATTTTTTATTAGTACATGTTTGTAGTACATAATGATCACATTCCTCGTGGGGAGTTGGAACATGTACATAACACATCTCAGTTCTTTCTCATGCTCTTCCCTTCCCTCTACTCCCCCCTTCCATCTCTTGGTCCCCTTCCAGTTTGCAAAAGATCTATCTCCCTACTTCCTATTACCTTGGCAAAATGGCATCCAGATATATGTGCTGTGTTCTGCTTGGAGGATTTAGGAGGCTCGGGGCAGAGCCTACCTGGTAAAGCTGGGGCATGACAACAGGGAGGAGGAGAAAGGGAGAAAGTGAATGCTCTGAGACCACACATGCAACCACACGTGAAGACAGAGAGGTGTAAATGAGTCCCTCCCCTCTTCTTCTTTTTCCTCCTGCAGTACATTTCTTATCCCTAGGCTGCTGCTGTCACTTGTCCCATGAGAGTGTTGGGTACACAGTGTAAATTTTTCTTTATATCCATACTTTAAGATTTCTCACCCGGGGTTCAATCCCTAGCATTGCAAAGAAAAAAAAAAAAAAAAACACACACACACACACAGAGAAATAAATGTTATTTTTATTGTGTTGTACCTTAATACAAAAAACATTTTTGGGGCTGGTGAGATGGCTCAGTGGTCTAAAGCACCTACTTAGAACAAGCTTAGCAAAGCACAGCGACCGCGGTTCAATCCCCCAGCACCACATGCCAGCCGCCCCGCCCCCTGGTGGGCTGAGCTGGCCACACACACACACACACACACACACATAAATAAATAAAAATTTAAAACAAAAACAAAACAAAACCAAAAAAAGGATTTTTAAGCGTTTACCTGGCAAGCACAGGGTCCTGAGTTCGATCTCCAGTACCTCAAAAAAAAAATTGTTTTTCCTTTTTAAAGGTTCATAAAATAATGGAATGTCTAACAATAAATGACCCCTTAGAGTTTATGAAGTAGGGTATATGAAAGAATTCCATCCTCAGAGGGAGGTGCCCCTTGCCTTGTCCACTAGGGACATTTCTAGGCTGTTATTTCCCACTGCTGGATTTAAACAGAAAGCCTTAGGGGCTGGGGAGATGGCTCAGTAGGATAAGCGCTTGACTGGCAAACACAAGGATCTGAGTTCAATCCCCGGTTCCGCAAAATAATAATAATAATAATAATAATAATAATAATAATAAGCAGAAAGCCTTGTGGACTGCTCCTAGACCACTGTCAGTCCTCTATTCATGGGAGAGATCTGTTAAGGAAGCAGAACTAGTGAGGGGACATTGGTTGCAGTGAATCAAAATCTTGATTTATACTGTCTGATAAGAATAGTTTACTAAGGGGCCGGGGAGATGGCTCAGTGGAATAAGTGCTTCCCTGGCAAGCGCAAAGGACTGAGTTCAATCCCCGGTTCCACCAAAAAAAAAAAAAAAGAATAATTTACTGGCTCAGATAATTCAAAAAGTCCAAAAATAGGACTGGTTTCAGATGAGAGTTTGATCTAATACTTTTTTTTTTTCTGTACTGGGGATTTTTCTGTACTAAGATCCTCACACTGAGCTATCTCCCTTTTTTTTTTTTTTTTTTTTTTGAGACAGGGTCTCACTGTTTGATGTGGTTGCACATGCCTATAATATTAGCACTTGGGAGACAGAGGCAGAAAGATAACCTCAAGTTCAAGGCCAACCTGGACTACATAGCAAGACTATCTCAGGCCAGGGAGATGGCTCAGTAGAATAAGTGCTTGCCTGGCAAGTGCAAGGACCTGAGTTCAATCTTGGTTCTGAAAAAAAAAAAAAAAAGGACTCATTGAATTTTAAAGGCGATTCACAGTCTAAAAATCAACAGATGAAAATAATATTCCTTGCAAAAGAAGCCAGAAAATAAGTGGAGGTAGATATCCTAATTTTGACAAAGTGGACTTTAAGCCACACTGATCAGAAGAAGCAAAGAAGGTCATTCCATATTGGTAAAGATAATG